TCGAACCGTTCAAAAGTTAGCCGACCGTCCTGGAACTTCTGGCCCACCCTGTATTTGAGGTCGACTTGTTTGTGAAATGGCAGAAAAACTTTTCCCCACTATTAAACATTCTTTCAATATTTTCTTTGGCTCTGTTTTCCTCCCTGTCCTCTGGATTTTTAGTTTTTCTTCTCTCTTTTTTTTTTAAAAAAAATATGCCTATTTTGTAACATAGTCTCAAAACCTGTACTTCAATTTTAGAAGTGTGAATTACCGATGTTGCTAAGGCACCTCTTCAATATAATCAAATTGATGGCGAAAAAGCAATACCACGTATGTCTCTTTGCGACGTAGCAGGCTTCCCATCATACTTTATTTGTTCTTTGGAAAACTACGATGTGTTTCAAACGTAAATTTTACAATAGTGGAAAGCCAATTTAACCGCGGGGGTTGTTAAATTAGCTTTTTTATCGTAAACCTACACTCAAACATTTCGGACACTTTTTTTTAACGAAAAACCTTTTAAATCAGAGCTATCATTTTTTCCCGAGTATTTTCCTGACAAAGACGATGAGAATCAAGAAGATTCTCAATACGTCGCCCTCCGCGCATAAGGGCGTAACTACACTTCGACTTCGAGATGAACCCTGTTGTCCATATCATCGAATGCTTTCCCAGGCTCATCTCTAAGTGCAGTTGAGCCCTTATGTCAGCCTAGCGGCGAATAATTTCGTCTGATTCTATGAGCTAAAAATATTTTTACTTTCCTTCCACAGAGATCACTCAAAGAATGGCGAGTCGTGTTCTGGATTATGTTCGTGATCCTGACGTTGACGAACTTCGTGTACATTTTCTACGGAACGGGAGAGGTGCAGCCGTGGAACGACTTGTCCGAACAGGAGACCTCGAGCACGGACGACAAGAGAACGCTCAAGGAGAAGGAAAGCAACACAACACAAGATGACCCGGAGAAGAGCATAGGGGTCAAATGAGACCACTCACCCCGTCCGCCGTCGACGGCCAAGTCGAATCTGCACCCGTGAAAAGACTGTGATTCCTTGCCTCAAGAGACTGATCTAGTGGCTGCGTCATTCGATACATTGCGATAAGATAATCGAAATCTAAATGGTCCTTTTGGCTCGCCTTTGGCGCTTTGAAAGCGCGGTGTAAATAGAATAGCCAATTAGGGGTTGATTTTTTTAGATTAGGTTATGTTTTTGTTTACGGTTGAACCAGCGAATATATCGATTTACCGAATGACATAGTCCCTAAATCAGTCTAGTCCAAGTTCCTACACCACGTCACAAGCCGCTTTGTAGAATTTCCCCTGAGTAGCCCTCACCTGACCATCCCTTGCTTAGACAGACGGTTCTATAGAGGCATCGAGGGGTGCCGCTCAACCCCAAGGGAATATTTATCTCGGTTACTGGAACTGTAAAAAAAGGATTTTGGGAAATGGAAAACATCCTGAAGCAAAATGCAAAAAAATGACGATATTTTTTACCCTGTAAATCCTCTTTGAAATTTAAAAGGGGACTGTACCTCATCAATCATGAGTACCTGCAGTTTTGAAAGACTGAAAATAATTGTTTCATCTTCTATACAACAAGCATGCTGCTAAATGTGAAAGTAATTTTGTGTCCTCGGAAAATGAAAATGAAAACATTTTCCGTGGGAGAACCCTTGCTGGGGGCAGCACCCTCGGACCCCCACCACGAAATTGAACGAATGAGGCACCCCCCCCCAAGAAAACCGCCTTTAGAACCGTCTAAGACCCTCTAGGATAGCTTCAACGCAAAAATTCTAGAGTGAATGTCGAATTTCTACTGAATTTGCTCTCTTGTTCACAAATGACATTTTTGTAAAATGTAGACGAACCACAAAAGTATACTTGTATTGACGCATTTTGATCATGGGGAAGTCAGGTGAGGTGGATAAAAATGTTGATTGACATTCAAGAAAAATTGAAATGTGGAGTTTTAACTTAAACCACTCTATGGAAGAAGCTCTGATAGCTCAAATCAAGTTCGGGAATTTTTCAGAGCACAGCGGAAATAAATTACTGTGGGAGGGCTGTGTGAAAAAAAGCACACTCTAGAGTAAACGTCATAAGGTTTAGATGAATATTGAATGTTGTATCTTCAGCAAGAAATTGTATCTTTTATTTCGAATTCCTATTGAAGAAAAACCATAATTATTATGAATTGAAAATCGTACTTTTCCATTATTGTATTGAAATAAGTCATTGATTTTTGCTTCCAAGCTCTACGAAGGGACGATTCGTATTATTTGATCCGTGAATCAGTATCTCTCATTGATCGAAAAAAGTATGAGGACTTTTAAGAAATTAACTTGTGACCTCTACTCTGGTTTTTATGTATCTGGTAGTGCCATATTGCTAGAATGTAAATAAATGAATTTATTGATGTCAAATACCGTCGCATACCGGAATGCGAGAGCTTGTCGTTTAAACGAGCGATTCACCATGGTTGGTGTGCTTGACTGTATTTCATTTAAATTGTATCAAAAATTTGTTTCATCTATTTTGTTAATTTATTCAAACTTGTTAGCATCCTTTCTTTTGTCCTTTAGTTTTTTTATTAATTTAAAGATTGATTTTTTTAGAAATTTGTTGAAAATAATTTTGTATTTTAGTATCTAAAGTATTATATTTTCTTTTATCTTTATCATTTTTCTTTTTTTCCTCTCTCTTCGTGGCTACCTTATCCTCGTACACTATCATAATTTATTCCACATGCATGATTTTCTCTCTGTTCTCTCCCACAAAGTAAACGTGTGAGAGGTCCACCTTTTACATTTCATTTATTTGCTCCTAACACCAATATTAAATTCATTTAATTTCCAACTAGAATCGACATTTCAAATAAATAGTTTGTATGGTTTTAGGAATGCGTCGCAAACAAGTACAGGTCACGTCATGGGAGATAAAAGATTTGGCAACTCATAGGGATAAAACATTGATGAAAAACTCGATAGCACTCTATCTGATATTTAAGAGTTTGTTACAATGTTGGCATCAGCAATCAGAAACACAACTGTTGCAAGCTGAAGTGTTCTTCAAACAGCAGATACGGTTTGTCAGGAAAAAATCGTACCGTTTTCAGTCGGCTCGCCTAATGATTCAGATCCATTTCAAGCACTCCTAACGCAGACGAAATGTTCCACACCCTTCAAAACATCGTCATTCACCTTGCACTTCCATTTAAATGGTTTAAAACATGCATCAGTCAAACGTCCTCACCCTTTTGAAGAAAGTTAAACGTACTTAACTTCAAAGCAGTATAAGTACAATTCACCACAGTGGGGTGATTCCCCCGTTTTTGGAGTTTCTTAAGAACGATGTATTAAAAGAATTCTAAAAAAAGTCAATGTATTATCAACAAACATGCTGATTCCAATTATGAGAAAACCCCCGTTTTTCTTCCTGACAAAAACTGTAGAAATCTGTTAGGTCAACATTTAGGTGGCAAATGTCTGATTGTTCAAAATTTTGTCTAATAACAATGATCATCAGGTACCTTTGAAATCATCATTTGCGATAGGAATTTTGTAACGTTGCCAACCGAAGTACCGGATTTTATAGTTTCACCATATAAATGTGAGCTCTTACTGTGATTAAGAGCGAGAGGCACGGATGCATGGACCTGCGTCGAATTGGGCAGGAAAATTGCATGTTGATCATTATTTGGCCAAAAACACTTTCCGATATTTTTAGCAATTCAGTTCAGCGTAAAGTTGCATTCTAATTAAACGATTTCAAGCCATTATAATGTAGCAAAATGGACATTTAAAAAATCTCATTTTGCAAACTGTTTTTTCAATATAATTTTTAAATGGGAAAGTATTGAACTTCATTTTTCTTGGAAACCTCCCTAAGTTTTCTTCTCTGTGTGAGGAACAATCTGTGAAAATGTTAAAATATAGTGTTGATTTGTTCTTTTTAAATTAAATATAATAAGAGTGACGATTTTGAAATACCACAAATGAGATGCGTGTCCTTGTTTTTTCACCGTAGATATCAGATCTGAATGACTCTGTGATAGATCATGCTCCAAGATGAGGATGTGTGTCCACAAGGAATGCGAATTTATGGAAAGGGTGAGGTGAGGGTATAATGAAAGAATAATACTATACATCCTGTCCATTTTGAATGTGAGTAATGAAGATCTCAGATAGATATAACGTTGACTCAGGTCGTAAGATGGAATCACTTTGAATAAAAAATTGATCGAGATTGAGTCATTACCGGAGAAACTACCGAGACTAAAAAGCTATTTATTGCGCGTTGGAGTTGGATAGTAAATTATGACCAAAAGAATGATTCTCTCCCGATGATGTCCTCTTGCAGTATTTTTTGAGGGAGAAAATATTCAAATATAAGTAACTTGGTAAAAAATACTATGAGACATATTACACTCACTATTTAATAACTTAAATTTACTAGAAAAGGCAACACACATTTTTCAGCCAAACTGCAACCTAGCTATTATTTCCAGTGATATCGCTCTGCGAGTGACTCTGACTCTGATACTACCTGCTCCAACAATCGAAGTTACAACAGACATCGGTAAATAAGTCAGTAAAATAAGTAAGGATACTTTATGGTACACAAAAAATAATAAAAACCGAAAAATTGCTTTCCTCCTTCATCTGATGAAGTACTTCTTTGCATCTGCTGACGAGATGGAAAAATACTACTTGAAGCCAACCCAGCATCCATTAATATCACTTAAAACACGATTACACTATTGAAATGTACTTGGGTGATCTTGCACACTCTAATATAAGAACCTCAAAAAACCAACACAGCAGATTCATTGATATTGCTTTGAAGATAAAACTAAATACTCCAATATATGAACCTCAAAAATCCAACACAGCAGATTCATTAATACTGATTTAAGAACAAAACTAAACTAAGAACTTTTTTACAAAGTCAAAAAGTTTAATTAGAGTCAAAATTTTGAGCTCTTAAAAATTACAACTTTATTAGAAAAATGGTGAACTTCACCCTGGAGAAAATTAACAGCTTCCTTTGAAAAAGAACCCTACATGCACTCGTAATGGTTATTTGTGCGCTGATATAATTGAGGGGCTTGGAAGACAAGTGGGATAAGTGCAGTATCAACTTGGAAAAATTTAGGTGATAATGATTTCACCTAAAACTATTTTTAAAATATATTCT